CTCCCAGTGGAAGTAGTTGTCGCTCCCAAGGAGGACTTCACTTCTTCTAGACGACATGAGCGAGGCTTGAGCGTTCTTGCGGCTGTTAACCTGTTGAGTTTTATGATGTTTGTTGTATCACAGTTACGACCTGTTGACTCTCAACGAGTTGCGGTACCTTGTGAAGAGGTTACCGATTCAGAATACTGAACGTAGCACATGAATATATAATCAGGTCGGAAGAGAACATGTGTAAAGCTCAGTGAGCACTATGTATTGGTGACGCAAACTGTTAAAGTGGACAAGCACTTAAGTTTGCCGTGCGAGACGTTTTACCGAGCTAATTTTTGCTGCATCTACTTGCTCTTCGCCGAATTGCCGTTTTGACATAATGTTTGCAGACAATTGGCACGAAACCGTTCGGGTCTTTTTGAGATGTGTCGAGTAGTCCCGGCAACGTGATCGTTTTGTAGCGTCTGACAAGATAGCGGTATCAGATGTAAAAAAATTGTGTTTAATATTCATTTAAAGCTAGACGAAGTCAAGGAAATCGTGATACGCAATCAAACAAGCACATGGTATTTGAGAGGATCTCTGTTCCGATCTGAGTGGCGCTTGGAGAACCTATTCTCTGTAAGTTTCGTATCGCAATGTAATGGAGTCAAGCTTTTTTTGCGCAATAAACATGGCCTGTTGCACGATCGATGTTGTCCGATTGTGCAACAAGCCTTGCATCTTGCGGCTAGTTGACGCGTTTGACAATCGAAGCTCCGCCAGCGTTGCGGGCAATTAGCGCATAATAGGTTCCAATCCGTGTCAATCGCCGTTTCACCTCGCTTCACTGATGATATACACTTCGCAGAAATAGCATTAAGCTTTAGCCGTAAATGTTACTCAGAAAAATGATGATTTACATCCTGCTTGGATGAGCCAACCCGGTTTCGCTAGACTTTTATGATTCATTACTCTCGCGTGTAACAGCGTACATCATCTGAGTTTTAGAATATAATGGTCATATCTCACATGGCATCTGAATGGGGAAGATAGTGTTGTTTCTCAAGAAAACATTGGACAAGATATCATGCACGTCATCGTAAATTTGTTTCACAAACGATATTTGCAGTGTATTTCTATCATCCAAATATGATATCAATATAAACAAATTGATCTCGAGATCATATTCGTGAAAAAAACATACGCTTTTATCAAGAATGCTCAAACAGTGGAGATTTAAATATCATAGTTGCCCTCAACGTTTAAAATACGTAGTCGTGCAAAATATGCCGTTGGCTATGAGGGCGAAGTACGAAATTGTACGCATCGATATCGCTTAACAACGGCTCATACACATACAGGCTCACCATCCAGTTATTTGTTGCTTGTTTCTATGCATTCCATGACATTGCAACTTAACGTTTCCACTCCTCGCAGCGCTTATATTTGATGGTGGCTGATCTACAAACAAACCAATAGCAATTCGAAAGCGTAATCCACAAAGGTAAGGTCTGGTTTCATTCACGTACTTGACGTGACTTAAGCCCATATTGTCATGGACTGCTAGAATGAGACACATGTTCTGAGCTAGCTTTTGCGATCTGTTTATAGTGTTTGCAATGCATAGTCAGATTGCATCTCAAAAATATTACGCCCCATCTATGGCCGAAAAATTAACAATGTCCCTTCTGATCACGCATATGACGCGAATAGAAAATGAGACAATCCGCTTTGCTTACGCAGGTAAACAACTTTATGCGCGGTAGAATTTAATTACAAAAGTGATCCGATTAACAAAGTCACGCAATGCAACAAGAATTTACGATGAACCTTGCACAGCGAAAGCTGAAATTTGTAAAATTTGCTTCAGCAAAAGCACAGAGAATAGGATTTAAGGTTCGCAGAACTTAAGCCCGCTTAAGTAATCAGTAGTTACGTATTGCTTGTATTACCAAAAGTGATACGTTTATATGACACATTGCGTGTTGATGCCAACTTATCTGTTTCACGCACATCTTTTTTGTAAAACATCGCATACCATGAATTGATGATGGTACTTCATCATGCGACTTCATCATAGTTTATTTCAGCTTCTTGATTTTTACGGATAGTAGTGTTATTTGCAAACCGTTACACCCTCACTGCCAAAATATGAACCCCCTGGGGTCATAAGCGTTTATTTTTATCTAAAGACTAACGTGAATTTAATGAAAGCTCTACACGAACCGACAAAACTGTCTTCTCTACAGGCCACACGATCACACGTTTCCTTAGCTCAGCATTCTTAGTGTCTGTCGTCATCGTTGCGGTTTTTGCACACAGCATGCTTGTTTTTCGAAGCAGACACCCTACTACTGATAATAATGACGTCCAGCACACTACCCTTAGCTCATCAAAGCTAGATCAGTCACATGGCTTATACTAGTCTTGCGTGATTTACATATATCGTTTGAGTAGAACGAATGCACATTAGTCATCAAAATACACTGAACTTAGCTCGGCAAGTAAAATATTCTCGTCTGCAGGCACAAGGGTCAAGCAGATGTCAATACGGCACATTGTAATCATGGCTTTCAAGCTAAAGCGTGGGCGCGCAGTCGTACACGCATACGCGAGATACGTAACCTAGCTTTACATTTGTGAGAAGTACCGCATATGGCTCGATGAGCAGCGATCGGAGAAATTAGCTCCCAATTTGAAGACGATTTTTTGGTACGACGGCATGACGATAGTGCCGAGTAGTTATTGACCGTTAAATCGAAAAGATCTTGCCTTGCTTACTTTGTAGCGTTACAATTAATTCTCAATGAAGCTAATAGCGGGCCAAAACATCACATGGATCTCTATACCGCGTATTTTAAAGCGAGACGTCGACGTCGAAACGTGGAGTCACATCCGGCCCCAATTCATGCTAACAGCGTTCGAGCTTGTATACAAGAGTCTAATGGCACCGCAAGTTGGTCCCCACTCGCTAGTGGGAAGCACGTTGCGCTGCACCCCCGTCTCTTACTTGGGGTTGAAGAAACAGTGTGTGCCAAATCATAAGCGGCGACGACACTAGAGTAATCTTGCCGGATTATGATGTCAAAGTCTCAGACATCTATGGAGTAGATCTAGCAACCAGATATTGATTATGCTTGAGGTAAACACGTTGACACAAATCTTTTTCACATCGAGAAAAACATATCTTGTCGATCGAGCAGAGCAGGCTGACACGCATAGGCTTTCGAGATTGTAAGAAAGTATTAATCTATTTTCAACGTGAATTAGCCGCAGATACCAGTTGTCCTTTGGATGTGCTCTTATCACAATCGAAGCCTCACAATCAGATCGCATTAAACAAAGCGGATGGTAGAGCAGTGACAAAAGTAAGTAGATATGTTGCTTCACCTACACAGTACGGTGCGCTACATCCACCCAATCTGCTTCACCTTTGGGTAGATCATGGGAATAAAAACAATGTTACGAATCCTGAAAGTCACATGCTAGCCATGTTGTGCTAGCCATTCGTTATGGGTGTGCAGAATTTACTTATTTTTTATGCTACGACCATAAAGTATGTGATAAAATGAGGGCACAAATTCCTTCAATGACTGCTATAAGGTAAATTTATCGTTATCAATTACACGCTGATCATCCAAATTAGTTCATTTACGATTTTTGTCTGCCTTTGTCAGGTACGTTCTTTTCGTGTGGCATTCGACCATTGTTGAGTATTTGGCGTATGAAGCTCAGTCGTTCTGGGGGGATATTGTCGAATCTCTACAAAGTGCAGCCGGGCTGAGCTGAATCTGTCGACCTGTATCTTTACCAACGCCAGAATCATTTCGTGGTAGTGCTTGCCAGATCATACATAAAAGATTAGACTCTGTAGTGGCATTGATGGCGTTTTTCAACGCAAGCTGACAAACGCAATTTGTGCAGAAGCCTCAATGAGTGGCAGTTTGTCGCTATAACACCGCAGCTACTATGCGCATGCGTATCGGAGAACACCTTAACCATAAGAACGAATGCTTGCTGTTACCCTTTGCATATTATTTTTCGGTTTAAAGTTTTCACTTTAATAGCGCGCAAAAATAACGTTTGTATGCATTCTCAGCGAGCGAAACCGAGCGCTATTTGAGTAAGTAGGTAAGTAAATAAATAAATAAATAAGTAAGTAAGTAAGTAAGTAAGTAAGTAAGTAAGTAAGTAAGTAAGTAAGTAAGTAAGTCAGTCAGTCAGTCAGTCAGTCAGTCAGTCAGTCAGTCAGTCGGTCAGTCAGTAAGTTGGTAAGTAAGTAATTTTCATAAACGAGTATTGCGATCGTTTTTGTATTCAGGGTGGTATAGATTCAAATTAATCTTATTTAATTCAATAATAAATACACATGTTTTATCTACTTGACTTAAATCTAATGTCGGTTACGTGATGCTAGCAGATGCCACCCTCGAGGCTATCCCTGCGGTGGATGCTCTTAGCAGCCCACATGTCTCACAGATCTTTACTTCAAAAAATAATATTATGTACGTACCATTACTTTGGTATCTCTGAGAACTGTAACGAGTGCGCGCACCATAATACGATGCTTACTCCGTACACTCTCTTTCTTCAAGACGGCAAAACATATGAATACACGCTTATTTGTCATCGTAAGATATTGCACAAATTTGTGACGCCTCAATAAGCAAAATTTCCCTCCCTCTCGTGCACCATACAAACCCAGCTCCTCCGAACGTCATCCGCATCCAACTTCTTCGTATCGTGATCGTTTGGCTTAACGAACATTAAATAAAAGTGCAGTTTTTGGGGCAAGTGTACTCAAGACCACCATTTCAGCTCGTCATCAATGAGCTGAACCCGGCTTGGAAAGCCAAGCTTCTAAAGTCACAATGACCCCTCCCGATCTGATCACGTCGTCTTATGGTTTCAGACCCTCAGAATTGGCTGTGCGGCGCCGTGACAAATTCTCTATCTAGACGTGCCAGTGTTTTGCTCATCAAAAGTCCAAAGCGATCACTCAAAAGATGGCGAGCGCTTGTAGCTCTTCAGTACAATCCAATGGCAAAGTTGTACTTATTGACAGCTTTTCGAAATGAATCACAGCCTTTAAAAAAGACTGAAACGTCATAAACGAGATGAAATGTTTGGATTTATAAGGACAACATGGAACTTTCATTCACAGCCTTGAATGTTATCCCTATAGCTGCACCATGAATCACTTAACCTTTTTTGTAGAGGTTTCAAAGTGACCGTGTCATGCTGGTATAAACTGCATTAGACTTGTGCAAAACGCCAACTCATTTCTTCAAGGCCCAATAAACACCAATATACGGTAATCTTGTTCTCACAAGCTTGATCTGCACGACAATGACCAATTTAGATGCTCTGCACCGCTATGGACAAATTTATATGGCACGTGCATAGGCGCAATGTGGCCTAAACACCTGAATTATCACACAGCTGAAGGTTGTTGATGCGCTAGACAGTCCTTAGGGAATACTCAGCCACTCCCATAGCATCTCGCTTGGAGTATTTACTGTATCGAAAAAGACGTATCTGTCAATCTTGAGCAGTTAACGGTATCAATTGGCAAGGTTACGAGCACTTAACAAATGCTACTGACCGCGTAAATCCACAAAAAATAGCGTGTGCACCAGAATAATGGTTGCAATTAGTCTCAGTATACACGCACAGTACGCCAATTGGCGGCAATTTCCCTGGCACAGAAAGTCGGCAGCGGCAGCGAGTCGGAGGATTTGCCCTCTTTTTTTAAACCCGCTTTGCGCATTGCTCGAAAATAAGTGTCTATGACATCACACTGTATCCATTATAAGGGTATTGCTTTGTGATGCAATATTTGGCCTTAGGATATGTGTCAACTGCATGGCGCACTCTCTTCTTCGGAGATAACACGCTTGTAGGGCTTATGTCACCGACATGCTAATACTTATATCGCGTAAGAAGAGCCGTTTGATCTTTGGGGGTAGCCGTTCAACTCCTCACACTTGCTCTGAAATGGTTTTCACGGTAAAATTGCCTATGATTATAAAAATGAGCTCAGCTCCTATTCGTGACCAAATGTACCATTGCGAGTAATAACGGATACTTTATCATCTTGCAACTCTCTGCAAACATCCCGTTCAGCCGATCTTCAAGGCCCATGAGAAATTCTGCCGTTTGTGACGAGGGAAACCTTTCAACGCCTAGGACTAGCTGAGTCGCTTCGTCCACGATTGAATTATCCCTTTCGTCACTAAGTCTTTTGAGACTCACTGCCCAGCTCACTACCGTCTCACCATTACCTTCAAGCCGTGAGAAGGATCTATCGTCTTTAATAGCTTCGAGGCTTGACTCTTGCAAATTACAAATACCCATATTTTTCAACTCTGGTACAAAAGTCTTTTTCGTATTTACCTGCTCTGGAATGAAGTGTTTGCTTACGGCTGTGACTAATCATTTTGCCAGAGGTACGCAGTGAAGGCTGCGACAAACTGTCGCACATTTCGAGATTTATTAGACACACTGTGTTGACCGCACTAAGTAAGTTCTATATCTTTGTATGTAACTCACTGCCATTGAAATCCTTCAAAATGTGCTTAGGGTACCTGATAGTATCATTGTTTATCAGTTCACCGAGTTACATGTTCTGCATCGAAGCTGTTGCCGCTTCATGTCCACGCCAAAAGTGAATCTGCTTTCGGGAAGAGAATAATTTAAGGTTCACAAATTTACACAACGTGTAAAGTGCGTGGCACCTAGCGTTTATGACGTTCACCCAATATGTAGCTCATGACACTAAATCCACGGTATATAAATCGATTTTGCGTCTAGATCAAGACAGCAATCCACGTTGTCAAAGTTTCGCAATAAAGATTAAACTTTGTACTGAAATAAGTTACCCTGTCGCAAGACGCTCGGATATTGTATCTAGGTGGATATAATGCCTTAGCCGTCTCTGTACTGCTTCGACTTCCGCGCATCAAACGTGGTCGAATGATGCACATGATTATATCAGGCCTCTCACTGCTTTACAACGCCGGTGACGTCGACATTAAAAGCCAACAGCCCTGGGTTGTGAGCACACTATTCTTGAAAGGAATCGCTCTCTTTAAGACCGACTTCCATTGACCAAGACCTTACAAGGTACAATACAACTCAAATCTTTTCCGGTGTGTTTTCTTTAGCCTTTTGGAACTCGATTTTTCTGTGAGGGGGCTCTACACGTCTCTATCGAAGGGTCACACCGGGTGCAGATGGTTAATGTCGCCACAGATATAGCATCTGCGGGCGCCATGGTACTGCTCGGTAGCTAAGCGACCTCTCCCATTTTTCCAAGCATGTTGAAGGTTCATTGCCTTCAACGCGCTCCAAACGGTAGACCTCTCCAAATCCAGCCGGCCCTCGATGCACGTGACTTGTATTTTGCATTTTATGGAACACTCACCGCATCCTCGAAAGAGGGTGGTGAATGGCCAGCCGCACCTTTTCGGATTCTCTTCATGGAAGTGGTAGGTATTTTTGCTTGCGGAAGAGGGTCTGTCGCTATCATGTCGATAAGAGTTTGAAACATATGGGCATGTCTTGCTCATTCTTGCCTACCTTGGCGGTTGATCTTACATGATCAGGATGGTTGGGGGGGGGTGAACGCAACATTGGTTGCTTAAACACTAACTATATTAATAATGTCTCTTCTACGAGGGTACTGCACGAAAGTGCTCATTTTCGCGCGAGGTCACTTAGCTAAGAGGCCGCTAGCGCAACGCGCTAATTCTCCGTTTGTAGCATAACCAAATTCATGTTCAGCTCCAATTTTCTCACTCCATTTTTTTTCAACTCTGCCGCAATAGGCTGGACGCCTAGCATCAGCGGTCTCATGTGGGTAGGAGTCAGTTGTTCTTCCCCCGCCGCTTGATGGGGCGTTTTTAGTGATGTATTGGTAAAGTATAGAGGTAAGCAAATAACATTCCCGGTCCTGGGGCGCCAGATGCCTTTCCCTTTGGGATCGACGGAAGACACGAGCTTACTAAGCGTGTTTAAATGTTCCAAGACAGAAATCTGACAACTCGTGTTTGTCTTTACACATAATACAATCTTTAAAGCTCGGTGATCGGATTGACAACAATTGCTATCGAGCGCAATGACGCTTTGACTTATGGAATCCGCATTTACAACACACTGAGGCTAGGATGCACGTGTACGATCAACATTGAGTTTAGTTTAAGCTAATATTTTATACGTTTACTATCTACAATACTTAGATCTATGTTTTGTCCGGCAGCTCAAGTACCATCATCCTCAACAGTTCAGTATTTTTATACTTCTGAGCAGTGCATCGTGCACGTACACCATAATACGGTACGTATCAAACTACAACTAATTGTCCGTTTCGGGTCCGGAAGGGTTAGAATAGGAGCGCAGGGGGCTTTTTGTCACAGCCTGAATGTCATTTCTTTTGACATTCTTTTTCGCTTTGCATAATACAATATTGACAAAATAGCTACATTTTTCATTCTGTTTTTTCATAGGCTTGTATTATTTATATGTCGTCAGCGTACACTAAGACTATCGGTGGCAAGCTGCAGCTAAAGGGTGGCATTTCTCTCAAAGCCAATACGTCGCATAAGCACAAGAAAAAGAGCAAACATGATAGCAAGAAGCGCGAGTTTGATGCCACAGTTTCAACCCCCGCCAAATCTTTTGAGCTGGTCAAACTTCGCGGCTCTGGACGCATCTTGAGCTCAGGTACGACTCTCATGGGGCAAGTTGGCACTAAATTTTTGCAAGAATTGCACGTGGGTGATGCAATTGTGATTCATCACCCAACGTCATTGACGGAAGAGACGCGTATCGTGCGCATGGTACTGAGTGACGTATCTGCTAGTGTCAGTTCCGCTCTTAGTTCGGACTTGGTGTCGTCCACGTCCTTTTATTATATAAAGGCGCCTCCCAAAGGTGTTGAAGAGGAAGAGGATGAGCAAGAAAAGCACAAGAAGAAGCGAAAGATGGATGAAGAAATTGCGTTTGGAACATATGCTGGAGGAACGGAGAAGGGTGGACAATACACTTATAGAGTTAAGAAGAGCGGGGCGTTTGGAGGGTATACCATCGTCAAAGAGGTGGAAGGGAAAGATTGTGAATGTTTGTATAATGCTGTGGTCTGATAAATATATATGGTGGGGATTTTGTAGAGTGCAGAGGTGGAAAGGAGTCGGGAGGAGCTACTTGACATTCGAGCGAAGAAGAAAGGAGATCGACATTGCATGTGATCATTTAAGTGAGTAATTGATCATGCTCAGTATGATGTGGAGAGTATTAGCTCTGGTGAAGTTGACAAGAAAAGATACAAGAATGCATTTTCGAGCTTGATATTGTTATTTTATCGATGCGAACAACCATATTGGGAGACTTTACCTGAAAATAAAATTCTGAGAGCACACCGACTCAATTGACATTGTTACGTGTGTTTGATTTGATTGATAATTAACATACGAGAAGCTACAAGTTCCAAGATTTGATATATCAAAAACAATAGCTTTATGTCGTAGCCTACTTTAGAACATGAAACTCCATAATTTGCTAGAGATGCAATTACGGGTAGCAAAGACGGCAGTAACTCGTGCCTCTGCAGACGATGCTACGCGACTGCGCAAATTTTTAGAGAAAGGTTGTGGCAAGACTATAGTGCTGACAGGTGCAGGGATTTCTACAGACTCAGGCATACCTGACTATCGAGGTCCGAACGGCGTATACAATCGCAATAAGGACTTCCGGCCTATTCAGTTTCAGGAGGTTACTTCCTTGTTGTATGACAATGTTCTGTCTTGTAGTACTGAATGAAGAATTTGCTTTTAATTGTATCTAGTTTATTGGAGCTCACGCGTATCGTCAACGCTACTGGGCGCGCAGCTTTCTCGGTTGGCCAAAGATTCGAAATACGCAGCCAAATGGTTCACACTATGCACTTACAGAATTGCAACGGATTGGCATGGTCCCCAGTATTCTTACACAGAATGTAGACCGCCTTCACACAAAGAGTGGTTCGCATAGCGTTGTAGAAATGCATGGTTCATTGTATGAGGTAGAATGCCAGGGCTGCGGTCAGGTGACGTCTCGTCAGAGTTTCCAAATGGCACTGACAGAATTGAATCCAGAGATCGCAAGATGGCGACAAGGACATCGAGACGAAGACATTGGCGATGTCGCATCTAGTGATTCAGTCAATCCGGATGGTGATGTCGATATTTCGTGGAACTACGATGACTTTGTCTATCCCGAGTGCAGCAATTGTGGCGGTATCATGAAACCCAGGTATTCTTTTGTGCAGTTTGTGATGTTTGCGAAATAAGTCTTACTGAAGTTGTGAAATTTGTATCAGCGTTGTTTTCTTTGGTGAAAATATGCCAGTGGCGACACGAGCGGATGCTATGGAACGTGTAAGTGATGCCAATGCATTGCTAGTGGTGGGCTCGTCGCTCAGAGTTCTGTCAGCCATGCGTCTCATTAATCATGCGCACACTCGAAAGATCCCAATCGCAATCGTAAATTTAGGTCCCACACGTGCAGATGAGCTGTGCAGCTTGCGTATTGATAAGCCATGCATGACCATGCTTGCAGAAGTTGCAGATTTATACTAGTAGAAGCTTTGGAAGCTGATAGATGGAAGAATATGATTCAAATACAATCGAAAATGCATAAAGATATTACAAAAAACGCTGCAGACTACAAAACAAGCTTTGCCGCCGGGAAAAACATGCAATTATCTCTACTTGTTGTAATTAAAAGCATGTCATAGCTTGCACCATAAGCTACTTAGCTCCAGACAGTACGTGTCGGTAGCATTGAAGAGGAGCTTCCAATAGGTAAATTTGGCCTCGGAAGGTTTTCTAAGCCCCCTGACTTTAAAGTAGGCACCCGAGGCGACAATAAATTGGATTTCTCCATAATCTTAGCAGAATCGTCTTCCAAGGACGGAGCAATCTTATTATCTGACACCGAAGTAGCTGCTGCCTCGGTTTGTTCATTGGATGCCTCGGTCTGAGTTTCCGTTGCCATAGACTTTAGGTCGTTACTTGCTTTGCCAGAGGCAGCAGCCGCGTCTGAGCGGAAAGTAATAGATGTAGAATGATCGAACGGTAAACGTTCCATAACCGATTGGCTAGCAGTCGCAAACACCGGGATGGCTGCCGCAGCCTCACGCAGCTGAGCCTCTGAAAACTTTCGCGGGGTAACAGTCGACTCTTTCACACCGAGTACTGGTCCTTCGTACTCGGGCATCGTTTTTTGTATCGCGCGGCCAAGAGCATGAATACACTGCACCACTTGTCCCAAGTTCGACTGATTATACAAATCCACCGTTTCAAACAAATCAAATTCCGCGACACCAATGGTGCGGCATGCGCGGACGAAAGCGCTGACGTTTTCCATTTGCTTAAATGGTATCGATGACGTCTGTATCTTGGCAATCAGTCCTGGCTTAATCTTGTTCATCATTGTGCACAACATCACGCCATCCCTCAGACTGTCACCAAAGCTCGCCAAGAACTTCTCATCCAGCACAGCCTCAATCCACTCCTGAGCTTCTTCCTCTGCCGTAAGCCCAGAACTAGCGCCTGTCCTTGTCAACCCATGAATAGATGACGCAACAGGTTTGTCATCTAAAAAAGTGGAATCCACCCCTTCAGTAAGCTCTGCCACTGTCGCATCTATCTCTGCCTTCTGCGGTATGTGTTTCGGAGGTGAGCTTTCAACCTCTGGCTGTGAGTTCGACGTCATGAGATGATCTACTTTCCGAAATCGAGTCAGCTGCTCAATCTTTTCATCCGATGGAGGCGGCGGAGGAGGTGGAGCACGATACGCACTCTGTGCAGCGTCTGCACCAAGCATGAGTTTATTCGTATGGGACGTCGTCTGTCGCTTCATAGTGCGGTAGCTACCAAGTGTCTGTTGGACTGGGACATTCTTCCCACCAGCAATCTGGTCGGATGTAAATGAGCGCTGATTCTTGCTGCTTTCCTTGACTCCAAGTGTAGGGCCCTTAAAGTCAGGATAATTACGCTGTACAGCACGTCCAAGAGCAAAAATACAGCGTACTACGTTGCCCAGGTCTTTAAGCTCAAATAAATCCACAGTCTCAAAAAGATCAAACTCATTGACTCCCATGACGCGGCAAGCTTTTAAAAATGCCGACACATTTTCCATCAACTTAAAGGGCATCTTGGACTTCATCTCGATACGCTTCACAACACCCGGATGAATTTTGTTGGCGACTGTACAAAGAATAATACCATCACGAAGACCTTCACCAAAGTCTTCGCCAATTTCCATCTCTGAAATCGTCTCGAGCCACTCGCACGCCTCGTCCTCCATATCGTAATCGTAACGCTCAGCAGCCTTGCGCGCTAACTCAGCATCAAGGCCATAGCCACCACCACGGACTTTCACAGGTGCACGGATAGACATTGTCGTAACTTGTTCTTGTTGATGAGGATAGTGCAATCTGTACTAGAACTGCAATTTGAGAGTGCGGACAACGTGAGAGAGTCGGTCGGACGGTACAGGACTCGATTACCAGCTGGTAGGAGTAGTAATCCGCACTGAAACTTCTTTCGAGAATTTCCTACGTAACGACAACACCTTACTATAGTATCACTTAGTTGACTCTTAGTAATATACACTATACATTGTCCAACTATCTGTGTTATTGCAGTATAATGTCATTCCAAAATTTATCGCGGCTAGATTGTAGTAATAATACGTGGCAGGGAGATTTTATGATGTTATTTATTAATACAGAGGGTCAATAAGGTCCACAAACTCTGGTTTGCGTTGGAGGCCATATGGCTTTTGAGACATCAGGTTTGCTATGTTAGGAACAACAAGCTATAAGCATCTTTTCATGAAGACAACATCTCATGATCCATGAAACCGGTTCTTAACACGACAGGACTACAGGTGCTAGCTGTATTATAGTACAAGTCAGGAAATACGATGTAGTAGTATGTTGAAGAAGTAATAGTTTCTTATATACAATAGTACTTAGCATTACTATATCGCTAAGTACAATACTTTTGGTGGTCTGCAAACTGATATATGTAAACATTTTTTTCTCATAATGACGTGCTTTACGGGTCATCTTGGTTCAAATGTGGCTTTGGCGACAATTTTGTTGAGTCCCACGCTTGTGCTAGCCGTTGGGTCGATAGTAATGGCTGCTTCTCTTCCTTTGAGCCAGCATGGTCTTCGCTGCGTTGGGAGATTGCAATGGGAGTCGTCGGCTCACTCACTATCGTAGCCGAATACATAGTATTTGTACTGTTATGACCATAAGCTGGCTGCTTGACCTTAACAGAGCATGAAGCAGGTGTCGTGTTTGCTTGCTCCATAGCGTGATGGTATAGCTTCGACTTGAAAGCGAATTCCTGACGCAACATATCAAGCTGAACATTGGCTGGGACGCTTTGAATAATCTTCCAGAATGACCATATTATCAGCAACAAAAGGTGCTCACTCACAAGGATCATAAACATGCGTGTGGTGAGTGAGAAACACGCAAAGTCTGGACCAAACCGATAATGAGAGAAATCACCACCAAGAGCGTACGCAATTTGCTTCGAACAAGATGGCGAGAAAAATTCCATAGCACCAGTAGAGATAAAGATTAGACCGATATTGACAATAACTCCAGTCAGCGCTACAAAGTGAAGCATGTTGTGCCACTCTCCGATACCGCTGGCCTTGCGTGGAAATGGCCGTCGATTGGTACGGCATAACCGAAAGCCGTCACCGCGAGTTTTGAGAGCATTTACAATCATGCATGCGGCAGGCATTAGTGGCCACAGCATCGAGAACATGACGACAAAACCAAATTGTACGATCATATGGTGGTAGTCATCGTACGGATCATATGTCTCTTGCTCACCTTCAAAAAGGATTGCACGTGCTTTTGCGTTCAATAGCTCCACCTCGCTTTCACTATTCTCCAAGTACCGTGCTGACGATCGATTCATCAGACAAGCGATATTCTCATTATTACGTGCCTTCATGCTGTCGACACCACTTTCGTCATGATCGCTTACATTTTTGGTGCCGTCGTTTTGGTACGTCATTTCCGCAAGTAAACGACGTTCACCTTGAGCTTTGACCATCGCCATGACTTTACGATCAGTTCCGCGCAGTCGTTGTTCATAGTGTTTGCGGTGAATCCATGGAACAGCAACAGCAATGACGAGGTTAAGCAATTGAGTTATTATAATCGGCGTAAGAAAAAGGGTTTCCAAATCGAGGTGGTTGATGTCAAAGGTTACCCACCCACGACAAGGTATACATCGAGCTTCATGTATCCCCATTTCATTCCATGCTAGTGGACACGAATCACAATATGAACCCGACTGATTCATATACGGTCCAAAACAACAATTTGATGGATCATTCCAAATCAACGTATTCAAGAAGTTGGTTATGGTATCGCCAGCTCCAGGAATCACATATATAAATGCTAGCAAGAAAAACCATGTGTAGTAATTAAGAAAATCCATGAAAAATAGTTTACGTATCATTGACTTTTCAAACTGCTCAATGGTTTTCCAATTTTCCCACTCAGTAAACATACGCGCGGCTTTCGTAACAATGACGCTCCATTGGATAATGTCTACAAACAAACCGTATAAGACACCACCACCCAATATGTAAAACCACTGCACAGAAAAAATTCCGCTTTCAGGATATCGTACTTTAAGCACTTCAAATGCAGTAATCCAGATGGCAATGATAAACATCATGATTGAAATTTGCACTATCATAAAGCAAGCCACAGCCAAATACTTCGGATATCGTTTCCAACTTGGATAAAATTGATCCGGTAAGCCGGTTATTGGATTGATAAATTCATCGCCATGAAAGTTGGGATTTCGGTAAACGATCGTCTTTGTTTCAAGATTCTTCACCCACTTGTAATTAAGTTCATTATTGCGACGAGACCAAGCCTTGAGAAACCCGTAGCTCCAAATCACTGAAATCAAAAGTGCCCACCCTACTAGTACACGCATGTACATGGGAGTCCCCATAATACTTCGAAGACACGTCAACAGTACACCTAGCAACGCGATCGGGACCAGAGCTTTATTGTAAAAATCCATAAACGCGAAGTAGTAACCCACCTTTTCACCAAAATGAGCTCTGACTTTGTTTAAATAGTTTTCGGATAAAAACTCAAGCTTTTGTGTTCCAATAAATGTTTTCAACAAATATCTATTGGTCGTAGGATCATGAACAGGAAAAATGGATTGCACATTAGGGTGGTCTGGCCTTATCTTCGCCGACTCACGTATGATATGATCAATCACTTGAATTCGTTCGGCAGGAGTGACGATTGGACTTTCTTGTATCACAGCATCTACTTCACGCGAATTGCCGCTTCGTAGCCACGTTTGAAACTTCAGTCTTCGTCCATATGTGGCAAGCGCTTCATCGTTTCCACGAATTAGCAACACAAAATACTTACTTGCCTTCTGTCCATCGACTTCCACGCGACTAAAATCACCTTCCAATACATCAACGTTCAAACCACTGGCTACAAGCTTCTCGATCAATTTACTTTCCACCCCTGCACTGATGTCTACCGCCACTTCAGTGTTATTAGTCATCGTGCTATCATTCTTTTTGGATGTGTATCGACGAGTTACAATAGCAAAGTCGTACGTCGTCCCATTAAGTTCTGATCCCTTCAAATAACGATATTTACCGGGGTACACTTCCAGCGGCTCGCGTGGCTCCATCGATACCGGCGACTGATTATCTTTCAGTGCTAGATTCATGGCGCTGGATGACATCTGTCGCATAAAGCGACCTTGATTCAGATCGCTAGTTGGGGCAGGCGTCACTTCAGGTGTGGTGTCATCATCTTCCATCGTTTTGCGTAGCTCGAGTTTCTCTGGCGGATCTTAGCCGCATGACAAGCTAGTCATTTCTGCCCTTGTGTAGAAAACACTGATGAGATTATTTCATTTCGATACATCTACTATTGGTTTCAATATTCTCCTGGCCTTCAAAAGACGCAAAATGCCCAGTTATCGAGTATACAACACATTTTGACGACATAGGCGATAGCAGCGACTTCTTAAGAAAGCCCGAGCTCTCGTGAAGGCATGATTATAAGCAGAAACTGTTTATCAATCTTTTTAACTTGATCTTATCGATATGGTTCTTGTATTTCTTTGTAGATGACCAAGATTAGCAACAGCGACTCCGAATGCGAGTACGAGCTTTTGTATCCCGGAGACGATCGCACTAAAGAGATACTGAATAACAGCGACTACTACCAAAAGTATTTTTTAAATACCGATGCATTGTCCGAGTCCATGCTCTACTTGTGCGGTAGCTTTCCGGTGCGAATGACGCCACTAGTCGCGTCAGCTTTGGTTCAAAGGTTCACAAATGTGCGTTTTAATTGGACAACCAAGACGCTTCAGTCCTTTCTAGAAGTGGTCTGTTGGACTAGTGTCACGTATGCCACGTACTCGCTCTACGATGACATTTTACTTGCCTTAGAGGTTGGTACTTTTGTCGGTGCTATGATGTCAATCTGCGACGAAATTGTACTGCAATTTGTGCGTGGACTTGCGCGCGTGATTCGCAATCAACCAGGAGGTGGAGATTTACTGCAACGACTTGGTTTTGATGTGCCAAAGAATGGCAAGGCCCCAACAGATGGCCAAGAAATTGTGCTTCTAAAAAATTTAGTTTTCGGGTACTTTGGTGTAGTGGCGGTACGTTCTTTATGGGAGAATTTCCAGGACGTCAAGATATTTGCATTGCTCACGGCGTGCACTGGTGTGGCGTTTGTATTTACGGCCGAGTTCTTCTGTCTCTGGTTACCAACGCGACGGGTGGGATTGACGCTTCAGTCACGGTTTACAAAGGTCAGAAGTAATTGGCAAAATCACGGACTTCGCTCTTTAATCGAGATACTCTGCTGGATACTATCGACAAGTTACTTTTACTACAGCTCAGAAGACTTTTGGTGGGCCTTTCAAATGGGCACACTGGTCGCTGTTGGGGTGAGTCTGAGCTCTGGATTGGACCACCTCGTAGACATTGACGTTAATTGGACTGAAAATCTCGCATACGGCTTCTGTGACGAGGTTGCTTTGGACGACTCATTTATGAAGCTAGCAGGTTTGTTGGTAAAAGTTCAGCATTCACTTGAAGCCTTTGGCCGCGTTGTCGAGATGGAGGCCATGAATATGTACGAAAATTTTGGCGAGTAACAAGTTTTGACAACTTTTCCTTGGCCAACTCGAGATAAAAATGAAGAGATTAGTCTACATTTTGATTTTAAATGTGAAAATCAATAACTTGCGTAATTTCTGATAATGGCGCTATTTTTTGTAAGAAGTATTTCAATTTTAATTTGCAGAATCTCATGTAATTTTACCATTAATAATATTTTCTCAAGAAACGTCACGACATGGCAGCAGCTAACATGGCCCCTCGCATGCCAGTTCTCACCGCTGATACTACGCAAGTGCTCGTGCGCAATAGCCACATCCTTGAGATGCAATCGGATGTGTTGTTTCACATTGGTTTGACTATCTCGCAAAAGGAGCGTCAGCAGATAGCAAACACTTTTGGTGACGTGAAATTTTTCGTCACAGGCGGCAGTGCAGAGCGCATGACTCACTTCGCGCGCTTAGTAGCTAAGGAACTTGATATTGCCACGCCCTATGGCTACCAATTGGCACCAATCGGTAGTACATCTCGCTATACGCTTTACAAAGTTGGCCCTGTGCTTGTAGCAAATCATGGTATCGGCATGCCATCGATCTCTATTTTGCTACATGAAGTTACAAAGCTGCTTGAATACGCTGGAGCCCATGGTGCCACTTATATCCGCATGGGTACGAGTGGTGGCATTGGCGTCGAGCCGGGTACAATTGTTATTACGTCTGAGGCTGTTAATAATAAATTGGAAGCCGTAGAAGAGGTGGCTGTACTCGGCTCAACTGTGCTCCGGCCGTCCATTTGCTCGCCTGAAGTACGTAAAGATATGATTGCTGCCACGACAGATGTGGGGTTACCTTACACTGTGGGCAAAACACTTAGCTGCAATGACTTCTATGAGGGTCAAGGACGTTTAGATGGCGCCATCTGCGAGTATACGCTCCAAGACAAGATGGATTTCTTGCAAACATTGGCTAATGCTGGCGTATGTAATATTGAGATGGAGGCACGTTTGATTGCTGCTTTCTGTCACAAGCTTAATATTCCTGTTGCTGTAGTCTGTGTAACTTTACTAAATCGCCTTAATGGTGACCAAGTGCTCTCAAGTGTGGAAACTCTTCAAGAATTCGAGCGACGCCCTGCGTTAGTGCTGTTGCATTACATCAAAACAAAGGTTAATGCATCGACGTAGGTACATCATATACCATATCTGTTTTTAGCATATTTTATAAAACTATGATCACGTTAATCTTCACTAGCGAAAAGTTTGCCAAATAGCTATAGAATCCCAGAACGTGACACATGCTGTATCACGAAGCTGGTTTAGTGCTTACGCCATTGTAACATGGCTGTACTAGTGGTGTAATTTCTTGATGAAAAAAGTGCCTGTACGACCAGGTTATACTGCATAAGAAAGAATTGTAATCTACGCAACGAGAGATCGTTATGTCTGATAACTTCGAGATCTACGTTTTTGATGCTACAAAAATGGTCTCCTTCAGCCAACAGCTCGCATGCGTCAATTAAATCTAATTTTGCTTAACCTTTTCGGTTCGAAGGCGGCAGTCAATGGTGTCATTACGCCAGAAAATTTATTAGGATACCGAGAAATACGACCTGCCTTTGATGCGGTAATGCTGTTTCTATTACATCGAAGCTTTCAGAATCAACACCCTAGTTTGCTTTCGGAATTCATAGCTACGACTAGCAAAATTACCGCTATGCTCGGAGATTCACTTGATCACGTATTGTTTTTCGAATGATACAAATATTGCCTAAGATTTCTGCGATAAGACAGTGGTATCTCAGCTAGAACACTCAAAATTTCCTGGAAATCTTAAACGCAGTATGATTTTACTATTGGAAGGACGCTAAAATGCTACCATTTTGACGAAGCTGGTGATATTTAGCAGATAGTGTACACCACACCAATCCTTCATTTGGAGGCCACGCATGACAAGCATGATACGCCATGCTGCAAACGGACTCAATCGATGGACAATTAGGACCAGACATAAACACACAATTTTGAGCGCTCAAACACGCATTGCTTGTGCAGCATCGACCAGCCAAACTAGTACGTAATTTCGCCTCTAGCTCATTGTCAAATGGACATATTGCTAGATATTTTCCAAAAACTTACATTGTGCGGTTCATAGACCTCGAGTGGATGAAAAATCGCGATCCATTCTGCAATGTAAGTGCGTCAATTGCTGCTAAGATTGGTGTCAATCTCCATCGTCAGCCCAATCATCCGCTACACATTATTAAGACCAAGATTGAGAAATATTTCGAGACTTTACATCAATGCTACGGGTAAGACTTTTTATTGTCATATTGCAAGACCACCCCATACTGATACAATATGTCATTGTTATTGTTTTATATGTTGTAGAGGTCCAAAATTCACCATATTCGACAATCTAGACCCAGTAGTAACGACTTACGATTGCTTCGACTCAATGCTTGTACCTAAAGATCATGTGAGTCGCAAGATCACAGATACTTACTACGTCGACCAGAATCGTGTACTTCGTGCACACACAAGTGCACACGAGGTTGCTACTATGAAGCAAGGATATACGTCATTTTTAATCTCAGGCGATGTTTACCGTCGCGATGAGATTGACGCAAGTCACTATCCTGTATTTCATCAGATGGAAGGCGTGCGCATCTTTACTGATCTCGATGTCAGTATTCCACGATCCGAGAAGGTGACTTATGTAAGCAACGAGCTGAAACAAACGGTGGAAGGGATGGCAAAGGATCTTTTCGGTGACGTTGACATGCGATGGGTAGATGCATACTTTCCATTCACAGAGCCTTCGTTTGAGCTCGAGATCTTTTTTAATGGTGATTGGTTAGAAGTTCTTGGCTGCGGTGTATTGCATCACGAAATTGTACGCAATGCTGGTCTTGGTGAAAATGTTGGCTGGGCCTTTGGGTTGGGTCTAGAGCGCCTTGCAATGGTTTTATTCGACATTCCAGACATTCGTCTCTTTTGGTCTCAAGATAAGCGCTTTATCTCGCAATTTCAAGATGGTAAAATCACACGATTCAAACCGTACAGTAAATATCCCGCTTGCTTTAAGGACGTGAGTTTCTGGCATGACGATAATTTTCATGAAAATAATTTGTTTGAAGTCGTGCGAGACGTTGCCGGCGACATGGTTGAGCAGGTAACTTGGCTTAGCGCTTGAATGTCATCAGGTAACTTGCATTGGTTAATAGTCAAAATTTACTGTTGTCCATTGCAGGTAGCAGTTGTGGACGAGTTTACGCATCCAAAGACCCAGCGGACGAGCAAATGCTACCGTATCACGTATCGTCATATGGATCGTAACCTTACCAATAGTGAAATTGATGGTCTTCAGGAAATTGTTCGAGCTAAAATTGTGCAGTATCTCGGTGTTGAGCTTAGATAGAGTAGACAATAGCAGCTATTGCTTCTTGAAAGCGAAGCGAATTAAGAAGAAACAAATAGATCAAGACGCTGTTGTATACTGTTTCGTCTAATAGTCGCCGGATATTGATCTGAACGGTTTTCTATTGCTGAAGTGTGACATTGAAACGGATGCAGAGAGTGAGAAGGCGGTCGTAATAATCGACACAAGTCACTTCGTGGCGAGAAGAGGTCGAGACACAATGGAAGCGAATGATTGGAAGCGAAGATATCATAAAGAAACAAAGGTTGAAAATAATGAGATATTCTGAACTAAGAATGACTTGATGTTCTAGTTCTAAACGTTGTTTTGTTTCAATAGGTCAACAAAGAATTAGGTCGAAGGCTTCGCGTGCGGTCAATTCAAGTTTGTCTTTACGAGTAATGAAGTCGTGACTGAGATTCGTTTATTTTTTTGATATAGGAAACAAAATGTCGATTGGAAAAAGAAATCGCGCGTACACAAATGCTGAATGATGAGCTGCTACGATACAAAAGCCTTGAATATTGCGATGAATTGACTAAAGTACAAACACTGCACCATTTCTCTTTACCGTATGACTGTGGTGACTAACGTCTTTAAACTGTTTTCAGAAACCAAGTTTGATGTGCTCCAATTGTGAACGACTTGAGGCAGAGCTCGCAAAGCTTCAATTCATGCTTCGTACTGCAGAGAATTCTTCGAGAGTTAAGACACTTTCTGTGGTGACATCTCAATACGAAGATAGCAAGCGAAACGGGATTGTGTTTGCTTCTGACTGCTCAAAAGTCGACAACTTGGACGCGAAAGAGATCGCACCGGTGGCACTTGACGATAATTGTGAGGTTTCTCAGCGGATAGAAGAATTTAATAGCAACCAATTGGACGATGATTGCTATTCTCTTACTGACATGGTTGAGTCGTCTCTGGGAGATTTATTCAAGTATGCTGTTGTATTGGCTGGCCCTGTACCTATCAAACCTAAAGCCAAGTCACGTTTATCACTCACAGATCGTTTTAAGCCTTTGGAACTTCCGCGCATACGAAATGTGCAAGAGTGTATGGAACAAACTGAGCATCAAGGAAGCGCAAATGAGAGCAATCGTCCACGAAGTGCACCCAATAGCAAAGGACAAGCAACATCACCAAAAGGAGGGAGTATCTGGCCATTAAAGCGCCAGTCTCAGACAATTATCAATAATGTTAATGAAGCTCGAGTCCCATCGCCATTGAGACGAGTAGCGACTGGTTTTTTTTCAAGTTTTGTTCCAAATGGACTGCGGGGTGGAACTCCTTCCAGTGCTCCAACCACTCCTCCATTACCACCTACAGATTCAGTAAAGGCGACTACACCACCTCGACCAAATCTTGTCCCGGCAAGTAAGTTGTTGTGTGTCTATCCCCCGCACGCTGGAGAAGTACAAGAACTCGAAGGTTTAATAGAAATTTGCTTTCCATACGGAGACGATCCACCCTCAACGAGTGACTTTTCATTACCACAACTCAAGCGATCGCTGCAAGAGCGACATCGGACATATCGTAGTCTTGACTCGACATTTGTTCTAACAATTGCTAGTGCTAGCAATCCAACGGAAATTACATATGCCATTTGCGTGCGTTGTCCATTATTTCCAGACAAAGAAGACGATGTGAGCGAGACTCTCGATCCAGCATCTTTGGAGCCTCAAACACTTGCTGACGGACCGACTCAATGTTGTTTATGCTTATTAAGTCCTTATCCTTTCTTTGGACTATTTTTCAAGGTTTTGTATGGCATAGCAGTTCTATGGAATACAAAACGAAGAGAAGCATTGATGGCGAAAAAAGAGAAGTTCGAGACAGATCAAGTGGAGTCCATGCTTGAAAAACCGCTGGGAATGTTGGATTTTGTCGAGGTGTTTCAAGGTGTGATGGAACGTTTGAAAAAGATGCCAATACCTTCAATGGGAGGATGGAGTCGAATGCTGCTTTCCCCAAAAATCACGCATTTAGCCTTCCATCGACCTCATAGTTCGAGTTTATTGATCGAACGACGACATTTAGTTTTGGAATATGCCGCTCCAACACTTTTTGGATTACTTTCTGTCGATCAAGTGCTTTTTTTATTAGGATGTTTGTGTTCCGAGCGAAAAGTTTTAGTTGTGTCTGACCATGTGAATATCGTGAGCTCCTGTGTATTAGCCCTCATTACACTCCTCCATCCATTACAATGGGCTGGTCCAGTAATCACTGTATTACCACCTCGCTTAAATGAATTGTTGGAAGCACCCGTTCCATTGATTGCTGGACGTGTGTCGATCAATTGTGCTATGAAAGAAAACTTTTCAACTTTGGAACATCCAATGCGAGATGTGATTGAAATGAATATGGATCAAAACGCTTTGCATATGCACGACGAGGATTTAGTCACTTACCACGAACTTAAACTTCCAGAGGTTGACGAATTGGTGCATGAACTTGAGCCATTCTCAGCTTTACTGTTTGGTAAACATGAAGCACCAGACTTCCCAACGGTTGCACAAGACGAAGCATGTAAGATCATGTGTGCTAGAATTCATCATCATATCGAATCGATATGCACTCTTGCAATGATAGAGAGGGAGGAAGGGACGAGAAATGAGCCAAATGATTTTGATGAAACATCAGATCATGCATCTTCAGATAGTTCGTCACCATCCAGGGGATCGATAACTCGACTTGGTGCCGATCGGCGATGCAGTGCGATGGTTGCTGACTATATCAATCGATTTCAAGAAACTCAAATGTTTAGTATGTTAAAACTACACGCTCAAGGTGCACAGAACGAAAGTGATGACGGTGAACTTGAACTTGAGCTTGACGATAGTGAGAACGATGGTAGTGTGAATGAAGAGTATCACTATGGAGATTAAAGAGTTAGAAAACACTATTTATTCTTGAATTGACGACGGTCGACCTAAGTGTGACGTGAACCTGGTGCTGTAACTTGTTGATTGAAAATGAGCTACGAATACAGTTAACTCGGTGCATCATCGAGATATAAGTAAATAAAATACGATGTGAAGGCGTATTGATATTCGATTAACCAACCCACATTCTTGAGCTAAGATTTTCATATAAGTATGGAATCTTTTCTTTTAGCGACGAAATTTCCGTTGGTCGCCCAGTCGAATATACTAGAGCATGTACAATTGGATTATCTTCATAAGTCCATCAGGATTGTCAATGTGTACCCAGTGACCCGATTTTTCTAGCAAATGACGATAAACGTGCTTCTCCCGCAGCGCGTCGAGCCGACGGAGCAGATTGGGACTCCACATATTGTTGTTTGAAGCGTGCACAAAGTGAATTTCCACATCATTGCACTTTCTTGCATCTAAATGCTCAATGACAGGCCAAAGGTCCGTTGATAGAAACGATTGATACAATTCGTCAATAACATCAGCATTCATCTTCCACTCGTAAAGTTCTGGACTTTTACTAATGAGCCGCAAATTTGTCGTAAGCCATTGTGCTTCACCAAGTGCGACACCATGTCTCTGTAGCTCTTTGATGAGTTCTGTTTTCGAGTGTATAGGTACCGAAATCTTCTTAACGACAGGTAAAATTGTTTCAATTGAACTTGTGACGTCTCGACTTGCATAGTCGTTTTCACCTGCATCAGAGATTTAGCATAAGACTGGATTTATGTCAAACAGTGTCTCGTGTACCTGTGCCTGGAAGCGAGTCCAAGGCCCATACTTGGCTAGGAAGGGCACAACCT